TGTTAAGCAGTGGCTTAACTTGCATTGCAAGTCAGCAGTTAGTGGCTGGACTTGATGATCTTAAAGGTCTCTTCCAAGTGAAATGATTCTGTGGTTCTGTGAGAGGAGGAGCAACCTTTGCATCAAGGCTCCACACTGGATTCGCTGCTCTTCCTGGGCATTTTTCTTCTCATTGCATACTTTTTCCTTTTGGAAAGGAGACATTCATCTACTGTACAGCTCTGTGCAAAATGTCTCCTGTGCAGTAGAGCATCTTTCTGCTATCTCAGCACCTTAGAGAACTTCAGGACCAAGCCCAGATCTCTCAGGTCTAATCCAGCACTGGGAAAAGGACTGAGAGATGTCACATGGACTCCAGCTGGGCCCCAGTAACTCATGATCCTAAAATGCTGGATGTAAGAAATAGAAGAGTTGTGGTACTACTTTGCTGCTTGGACTCAGTTGGCAAGACTGTAGCAGAAGCCTTGAGGCATGTGGCATCTATTTTTACGCAGCTCGATTCAAAGTTGTTAAAGCTGAGAGGAGTCTCCCCATTGCTTTCAACAGAGTTTCATATGAATTTAAATTAAAAAAATACCCAGCATAATTAAAAATAACAGAAACATGTATTTAAAAAATTTTGATGTGTTAGAAGCTATATTCACCACCAGTTTCTTTTCAGCATTGATTACAAAGGCCAGGTTCATGTAAGACTGTGACTAATAAGCCAGCCATAAAATCAGTCCATGGCTCTGAAAACAATAGATTTCCTAAACTAATCTCATTTCCCTATATTTCCCTGGCCTTTTCCTTTTTTCACTGCCATTTTTTTCTCTTAATATTTTCCTTTTTCTTGGCAGTCAGGCCTTGGGATCGGTGCCCACCCTGTCTGCCAGCTCCAGTCAAGCCTTGAAATGCTAGTAGGCCAAGCTCCAAAAGGATGTGAAATTAATTTACAAATGGCAATTATGTTAAACCTAATCCTTCCCAAAAGAACTCTGGAGCAATTTTTTCCTCTCTGCATCTGAGTTATTTCTGACGGTGGCTTTTTGTGAGCCTTTGCACACTGTTCCTGGTAACAACAGAAACCATTTCCACAGCAGGACAAGTATGGCAGGAGAAGTCTTCCACCAGTCTCACAGTGATCCTCAGCACTTCCTTTGTTTGTGCGTAGTTTGCAGCTGCTTTTATGTCCAGCTGTTTATTGAGTGTCTCTCTTACTGCCCTATATCCCACATATTTTTAAAGCTTTCATGTCAAGATGTTTTTAAAACAGTACTTTCTGCCATATATTGTCTAGTGTTTTAACAGTGTCATTTTTAGGGCATGGGGGCTGTGTATGGGCAGCCCATAGTAAGTGACAGTCCCAGTGTAGTTCACGGCTCCTCTGTGTCTATTTTCAGTCAGGGCCTTCACATGTCTGCAGTGCTCGCACTACTGCCCCCAACACCCAACCCCTTGGGAAGGAACAGCAGCCAGCGGTGCCAGGAAATTGTATTTTTCATGCACTACTCCCAACAAAGAGGGAGCTTTGGCTGTATCAGGTCCTCATCACAGAAAG